ACACTCTCTTTGGGATTTTGAGTGCGACCGAGGAGACATTTTCTTAAGAAATGAATATCACAGAGATCTCTGAAAAGAGGCTTTATTTCCTGAACAATTGAATATGGTAAGCCATTTTTATGTTTAAATGTTTCACCTTATTTTACTGCTCTGTTGTACGTACACCAAGTTTCAGAACCTTTTGGACACAATCCATGACTTGGTGTATCATCAGTTAATGAAACTGGAACAGAACTGCCCTCACCGATTTCTTCATGTTCTCAATACTGTCTAAATTTTGTCTAATAGCTAGACCATAGTACTTGTAAATTTTATCTATTAGTGCATCAGCCAACCTATTTTTACCATGTAAAGATTTGCCATCAACTAATTTTTCCCCTTTGTTGGTCACCTTTAAATTTCGCCAAAGTGTGCGGTTTTGCACATGATCAATGCATTCTAGTTTATTTATTTATACATTTGGGCTATAGGATAGCATTTCAATAACTTTTTAAAGGCTTTAGAATTTCCATCTCCTAAATAATTTACATATTTTATGCCTTCACAATTCTGTGATCTTTGAAACAATTTTATAACTCCATTCACTTCCATGCCACCACTGACACCGTAGTAATTTGCCTCACAAATTTCAGAGTGCTCACCTTTCACTTTATTTCCACACCTACAATGTTTGGACATTACTGCTGCATCCAAAACTTTACCAGGGTCGACACTTGTAGCTGTATCCACACCATTCAAAGATGTGCGTCCTTTTTTTTCTTTTATTTCTTTTTCCATGAGCCATTGAATTCAAAGGACAGATCAGAGATATTGTTCAATTTCACAGCTTCAATTGCAGCACTTTTCATTGACATCAATGCCACGTCTTCTACTTTGTCCCCAATGACTTTATTATAATTTCCAAATCTTGTTGGAGGTAGTGGCAAGTTCCATATGCCACACAAAACATTTGCCGCAGTAGCACATTTCCCAATTACGCGCAACCCATTCACTAATCTAACATTAATATCTTAAGACTGATTTGCAGAATCTTCTTCACATTTGGAATGGAATTGTAAAAATTTAAAATCACAATTCATTCAAATAATTTGAAATTGTGTGGCAAGTCCACTTCGCCTTACAGTTTCTAAATGTAAACCTCCATTTTTACACATTTTGCAACTCACACTATTAAAAAAAAGTTACGGAGCACATTAATTTCAAATATTTCATTAGTGTCACACTCACTGCATTGCTGACGAAATATATTGTACATTACTTCTTTTCTTTGCAACTTCTATCCACAAAAGTTCGCACACCTAAAATCATCCTGCAATGTGTTTTCATCTGAGACTGTTGATGCACTGAAAATGTCCTGCGTTTCCTTTTTACCAACGCTTTTTCTCTTCTTAAACACTTTTAAATAATATCTATCTATAACATTAAAAACTCAACGCAAATACCACAAACACAAACTTCCGCACTAACCTCTAACCAGACTCTCACAAGGAAATTGACATGGATATCGCGCTTTCTGGAACTGTAAACATACAAACCGAAATAAGAACAAATGAAAATCGAGCATGCAGACAAACTCCTCAAACAGTAAATCCGTGTAAATGGCGGTAGTAGCAACAGTTATCTAGTAGCAACAGCTGTGAGAATGAAGTTCACTCCGCCATTTGACCACGCCGACTCACAATTTTTAAAAACATATTGTGCTGTCTTAAATATATACAATATGCACGATTTATACGTCATTTTAAACATGAAAATATTAACAGCAAAAAAATAAAAAAATCTTATTTTTCATTTTTTAACCCACTAGAGCCCCTTAAGTAGAGTCACAAATTTAAGTGATTTCTAATTGTTACCTCGAAAACATTCTCCCAATGATTTGTTAAGTATGGAATTACAAATTTTAAGATAAAAAAAGATTAGTTTTATCCTTTTAAAATTTGGAAAATCTCAATAATATATATTGTTATCACAACATTAGCTCATTCAAAACACATCTTTTATATACAAAAAGTGATGCTTGTTACATGAGATGTGATGTATTACTTTTTTCTGAACTACTTTCTTCTCCTCTTGTTTCAATTTTATTTCTAGGTTTTAAAGTGGGTTTAACAATGGTAGATTTAAGAAGTTAGGCATAGGTGTTCTATGTCTATTGATAGAGGAATACACATTTATTTTGCATTGTGATCATACAGAAAATATTAATCGTTTGAATGTCGTACATGTTTAGATTAATAGCTTTGCAATTATTTCAGAATATAAGTCTCCTTCAACACCCAGTTATGCATTATTTTTTGACAGTATAAAAGATCATGTAAATCCAAATAAAGCTTGTTTGATAATAGGAGAGACTGCACTTCAATGTTTTAAATAAAGCATGCATGTTAAGAGATGTGACGTTAAATTATAATATGACGTACTTGTTACATCAAAATGATTTAACAAAGACAGTAACATACAAAATGATGTAATTTATTATAATAGGAATTTCAATTCTGTACATCATGATAGTTATTTTTCAGATCATAAACCTATATTCTGTCAAACTATGTTCATTTAAATTTCAGAGCCAAATTTTTTCATGAGTAGTATAATCTGCAATCCTCAGGTAAAAATGACTGGTTAAGTTTCAGAACTTGATTATAAATGCAATGTAATAGTTTAGTATATGGCCAAAACGAAATTGTCAATTGAAGTCGTAGGTTTCCGCGGCCAGAGTCATGTGCGTGATCTGGGCTGTCCGGGTGACGCCGCGGTGCGAAGGCTGTGTTGGCCGACGTTTTCGACCATCTGTCGTGGACTTCTCAGGACTGGTATCTGCAGGGCCACATAAAATTGTCAATTTTTTTATTTTAAAGTAGGTGTAATTGTATAAGGTTTTTTACAAATGACCTGCACAGCAGTTCGGTTTTCAAACTGTTAACAGCTGGCTTAAATTTTGACAAAAAACAGGATAGCTACATTAAAATGTGAAGTCTAGTTATACTCTTATAACCCTCCATCCAGCAAAGTATCCAGAGGTACATTCAGTATACACAAAACAGTGAAAACATTGATAGATGGAAAGACAGGTAGCAACGCTAAAATTGCGCGAACACTATAACTTGCAATAATTCCCAAGAAAGTTGTAAACTACCCAGGAAAATTTATTATTTAAAAGATAACAAACATATGTTCACTGATAATGCGATTATGTAATACCAATCCTATATAGTTGGCAATTAAATAAAATTAAAGGAACAAATATACATATTTGTTGTGGATGGAGGGTTATAAGAGTATAACTAGACTTCACATTTTAATGTAGCTATCCTGTTTTTTGTCAAATTTAAGCCAGCTGTTAACAGTTTGAAAACGAACGCTGTGCAGTCAAAATAACTATATGATTTTTTTCTTAAATGTATCTCTGAAATTAATTTTAAACAGTACATTTGATCTTGTATAACCAAATACTGCTTGCTTGATATGAGACTTTAACTTCATTGGTTTAAATGAACTATATATTCGAATAGTTGCTTTCCGGTCGCTAATGACTTAGATGTTGATGCGACCTCAAATAACAAAAAAGTTGCTTTCCGTTAAAAAGGCAAATTAATTATTAAGATATAACATGTGTATCTCAAAGATATGAACTATATATTCTAACGACTCCTTAAAATAAATACGTGCCCCATACACCTATGTGGAGTCTCATATCGATCGCTCATATACGAGCTTTGAATTATCTCAGGGCAATTGGATCTTTTGGGTGGAAAAGGAATATGCAAACACACGGCAGTTCGGTTGCCTTCCCAGCTATACCACCGTCTGTCGCCGTCCTTCGACTTCCGTCTCCCGTCGTGTTCCTCTGACTGTGTATATGACTAGCAACCCTCGTATAAAATATAAGAGAAATCGAGTGAGAGTAGTAAGGGACAAAGTTACAAAATAAAATTGTTCATATGGGATTGGAAGTGTGAACGATAATTAGAAGTTAGTTTGATGAGGAGATATAGTATTGACAGGAGCTGCTAAAACTGCCGGTGCATAAAAGGAGGTATCGTATTAGGTTATGGAAATGATGGCATGACAAGAGAGAAAAAGCTGAGGTAGAAAGGAGGAGTAATGACGCAGGAAATAGTTCTGAAGACAGGACATGTTTGTAGGATTCTCAGGAGTTTGTGACGAGGAAGAGTGTTGTTAAAGGAAATAAAAGGTTAAGGGAATGGAGAAGAGTGAATGGAAGGTATGAAACACGAATATTGAGATTAACAGTTTTGGAAGTAGACAAAATAGTGGATAGCGTGGAAGGAAAGGAAGAAAAAATACTAAAGGAAATGTTCGACTACACGAGAAAAACTAAAGAGGGAAAGATATTTATGAAAGAGTGAGTATGTAATGGTAGAGATGGAGTATGTAATAAATCACCAAGGGTGAGAAAATACGAAGGGAGGTAGTAGAGAGCAGTGTGTAATCTTTGACCTGTTTCATTTCCTTTAACAGGTGACGGTAATGGAGATGGAGGAAAAAAAGTGGACAATGGAGCTAGGGTAAATTGGAAAACCGAATGTTTATACCGACTGTCCGGTGAGGAAACTTCAAAACTTTCCTTTACGTAGTATTGAGTACACAATATTGTCTTCATTTTTCATTCTTCGAGTCTCTCACCAAGAGTCTCCATTTTTTAAACTTCAAAACAATCGAATGTTGAACGAACATAAAAAATATTATAATGCTCCCTTTAAAAACCACACAATTATAATGCACTAGCTAGGTGGCAATTTGTACTAATTAATGATTCTCCATTTAATAATCAAGTTAAACTTTCAAAGATTTATTCGTCGAGCATACATGCTGCAGTGCCATTTGAAACGACATCTATACGTTGGTCCCCCGCTAGGCACGCAATTTGACTCGTTGTGTACACGTGCTATCGACATTGTGTGGCAGAAGCCGTCTTGTTTGGGTTGATCCTCGCTGCGGGCCTCATCCCACTGCTAATCTGCTTTCCTGATCGGGGCATGGAGGAATGTGGCTTGAAGGAACTGCAGTATCTGCGCGTGTCGCGAGACCCGCGGCGCTACGTGCGCCCCAACGAGCGGACGGCGCTGCTGTCGCCACCGCCATGCGCTCCCCGCCCCCGCACCCGCGGCCACTCCGCGCGCCGGCCCCCGCCGCGCCTGCTCATGCTGGTGACGTCGGCGCCAGCGCACCGCGAGCACCGCCAGGCCATCCGCGAGACGTGGGGCGGCCGCAGTGCAGACGCGCGACTCGTCTTCGTGCTGGGCCGCGGTCGGGAACCGGTCGCCCAGCCCCCGGTGAGCAACACACCCACCCACACACAGACTGCGCAGCACACTCACGGTTTCAGACGCGTGTTATATTAACTCTTTGAAGCCGGAATTATATATTATTGCAGAATTGTTTCATTTCGGGTTTAATTTTCTCCTGTAGTGGGTTAGCTGATGAAATACATTTTTATTAGTTATTTTCTTTCTTCATTCAAAAGTTATAAACTGGTACATAAATTTAACGCTATGCTCTTACACAGGCATATGGTGAAACACTAAACATAATGTTCTAATATAACACGAAGGGATAAAATGGCATTTATAAATATATTCTTCCTCCGCTGCCGCTACCTCATACCACCCCTCCTCCTCTCTAGTCTCGTATCCACCCACGCCCCTATCCTCGTCCCCGACCTCTCCACCATCATCGATATAACGCTCGTCCCGCCTCAATCTCTTCTGCTGACTCCCATCTCTCTCTCTCTGTGCTAGCACCTACCTTGCTTCCGTCCCGCCCTTGCCTCTACCCGTGCGTTGGCCTCTATATCCGCTTCCACCCTCGCATCCAACCCCACCTCCACCTTCGGCTCCGTCTGTCTCTGTGCACTCTCCGCCGTCCCTGCCTCCACCCGCGCTTCCATCCTCGGTTCTTAATAATCGCTCGACTCACGTTCTTGGTCGTTAATCAGAACGAAAGCAAAAATATTATTAATAGTAATAATAATAAATAATAATAGTAATAATAATAAATAATAATAGTAATAATAATAATAAATAATAATAGTAATAATAATAATAAATAATAATAATATAGTAAAAGTAATAATAACAGTAATAATAATAAGCAAATGAAAGTGCATAAAACCCTCCTTTCTCTCTATATAAATAAAAATTCACGAAGCATTTGTGCTCTTCTTGGCTCATTGAAGAAATTCTACTACTAAGAAGTCCATAGGAGCTCTGGCAGAAGACGTGTCTGCTGCCGGAAGGCCGTCGTAGAAGAGCTAGATGTGCTTTTTCGCAGGCAGAGGTACTCGAGGAATCGCAGCGGCACGGCGACCTGTTGGTGGAGGACTTCACGGACGCGTACCACAACCTGACGCTCAAGACGCTGTTCCTGCTCAAGTGGGCGGTGCGCGAGTGCCCGTCTGCGGAGTTCGTGCTCAAGACGGACGACGACGTGCTCATCAACACGCGCGGCCTGGTGCGCGCGCTGCCGCGCTGGGTGGCGCAGGCGCGCGGCAGTGCCGCCAACGGCCGCCTGGGCGGGCTGGACGCCGCGTCGGCGAGCGACCCGCACGCACACGAGAGAGTGCCTGCTCTCATCTTCGGCTTCGTTTTCCATCACTTGCTGCCGATACGCGACGCCAAATTCAAATTGTAAGTTGGTGCAATGCGGAATTATCAGATGCAGTAGTTCAGTGGCAACATGTTTCATTTGAAGCAGTGTTGACCGGGAAATCAAAGGTTCAATTTGCAGCGATGACTTGATTTTCAACACTTGCTAGTTTCGAATTCAGCCACGTGGATCCTGGGGGAGAATTGTAGCGCCTGCCTCCGAACAACAGCTAAAAAAGGTAAGAAATTTTGGAGAAGTATTGTTCGGACTCACATGCAAACGAAATATTCAATAAATGTACTTCATATTATTATTCATGTGCCTTGTAAGGGCAACTCAGCCTGATTTGTACTTATCTTTTAGATAACAGCATTCAACGTAACGCTGTCTATCGCCGGGCATAGGCACCCCTCCGCGATACGTTACCGCCACACGTGCGTTTCGCGCGTGAGGTGATGTCACACTATTTCTCAAATCTTGCGCACCTGCATATCAAACTTTCAATCGTTTCTAACAGCCCAAAGATGCCAGATTGTTTTGGAGCTAATTAAATACTCGTTTCCGATACGTTCATTCTCTAATCCCACCTAGCACCTCATGCATGGAAATCTTCTGTGTCGTACGTTTCAAAAGTTAGTTCAGCTTCGCTGGCCATGTGAAATGCAAGTGTGGGTGTTGTCTTTCGAACGCCAGGAAGAGGCGTACAGTATGATTCCTTGCGTAAAACTCATACAATGTCTCACAGCAAGCATTGCAACTTCAATTACGATCCAACGGCGATGTGAGTAGTACTTGCGTGTATGCACTCGTCAGATTCGTTTGAATACTGCATGAAGTATACGGCATGCTTTCTTACAAACTGCATTTCAGTATCTCACAGCCAGCAGTACTTGTTCTAAGTGAAGTGTATTCCAAATGAAATACGAATACCAAATAAGTATATATTGTATATTTGAGCCTGTGACTTATGTGCTCAAGAATAAAATTATTGTTGAGCAAATGTGTCTACATCTGATGTATAATTGGAGGCAGTCCTGGAACCCGCACTCCGTGAATACTGCCTACGTGAGCTATCCTAGGGCTTCAGACTATTGTGCAGGAACCACAAAACCACACTGACCACTCAATTTACTTTAAGCGCCCAGTGGTCTGAAGAAGTTGGGAAATCCGGGGGATCAAGAGTGTTTGATGATATTCAGGATTGTTAGGTTGGCCAAACTGATCATTAATGTTACTTTTGGGTCATACTTGCAACCCAGGTGGCAATGATTTGACTTCTTTCTCTAAGGAAGCATACAGTGTTAACTGACCTTTAACTTTCGACATAAATTACTGTCAACGTGTATATTTTATTATTATTTTTGAAACTGATATTGAAGATAAAGATTGCAGTTCCCTGAAGTATTTATTATATTCCTGCATTGTAGGTAAGTTACGGCAACTAATTTTATAGATCATATCTAAAACTAACTACTGGTGCAAAATGGGCCAGGGAATGATGGGGCACCACGGGTCATATGTTGCAATGTTTTTTCGCATGTTTTCTCATTTTCGCACATGTTTACCAGATATGGTTTAAACATACAAGTAAAAAACTACGAAAGGGGTACATGGGGGCAAACACTTATGAAAAATGCAATTGATTTGGTTGCAGAAGTGTCTTTCGAAGCAGAAGAAGGTCAGCTGATGAATGTGGTGTTAAGAGGTGAACATTATGGCGTAAGGAAACATTATAGTAAAATAATTTTCTTGTGCAGAAGTTGAACTCAAACCAAACTTCAGTCGTAATTAAGTGTTTACTTATTACTAAGAGGAAGTGGTGGCTGGCTGCAAAATGTTTTACGGTTTGTCGGAACTGCCGCCGAAATAAAGATTTGTCCTTAAGGTCTCCAGAGGGGTGTAGTTTTGATAGTGGCATGGCAATGAACAACAAAAGGCGCAGGTTTTTTAAATAATTATCATTTGTTAAAACGAGATTCTAGACTAGGTGATGCTTCGTACGTCCGCAAATTAGATGAAATAATGTTAGAGCCATTTTTACAATATTGAAAATGTCCCTGTCCCCTTCATGTAAATTCCCCTCCAAATTCCCCTTTAAATTCCAAGTAAAATATTTTCTGCTCCACAACTCTTTCTACACAAGAGAGACTCTATACTTAGAGACTATACCGAGCAACCAAATTTCGAATTCAAGAGGAAGCGTCATCTGCCTGATCGACAGAGGAATATCAATTTTGGAGAAAAATTGGTTGAACTGTTTTGTCGCTGCGTTGTTCACAGAGGGACGGACGGATAGACGGACAGAGACGTTTTTCCGAAAATCTATTTTTCGGTCACTAAGATCTACAAACCAGACTCCACCCACATCACTTGTTAGATATTTTTTTCTAAATTTAGCAAATGGATTTATCCACTTTTTCATTACTAGGGTTTTCGCGCATCTTTATTCAACTTTATCATAGTAGACAAATTAGAAATTGGACGAATTCTGTTTCTAAATTTAGAGGGAAATCCTCCAATACGTGGTGAAATCAGAACCATGTTTTGTGGATCCTTAATACTAAAAAAATAAAATGACAAAACGCTCGTCTGTTATTACGCCTCTCCGTCTGTGCGCGCCAGTACGTTCGTAAGTCTGTCCGTCCGTTTGTCTATTCCTCCTGTAAAAAACACTAACGGCTAAATATTTAGCTGATTTTCCCCAAAATTTATATTTTTTAGTCTTTGATTTGATTATGTGTTGCGAGGCACACATATCAAGTTATCTGTATGGCGTAGTCAATTTCTGAGAAGGGCTACGCCGTTCAGCGGTGGGTCGTGAGAGCGATCCGCGAAGTTTAGTTCAAACAATTTTGCAAGCACGAGCCTGTGTGTCACATGCGCAAAGTGACGTATTAGGATTATTGGGTGTGCAAAATACAGAATATCGAATGCAGTACAATACAATTAAACAATTACTTGTACGATACTTAATAATTATACTATGAGAAGGTGGACATATTACATTATGCATAAAATGTGCTTATAAATTAATGTATTAAGTATGCTTATTCCTACAGCGAGAAAGCATATATACAGTTGTATCTTCACTAGTTCATAAGGTGATGGTAGATATTAAGGTAACGGATGTTAAATTCCTTGAATTATCAGAACGTTCCTTATTGATGAGGAGGACGGTGCGCAGGTACGCCCCGCACTGGCTGTTCCCTGAGAGAGTCTACCCAGACTACGTGTCCGGAAGTGCGTACGTAATAACTGGCACCTCCCTGGAGCTCCTCTTCCAAGAGGCTATGGACACGCCCCTGCTGCCGATAGAAGACGTCTTCCTCACCGGGATAGTAGGCGGTAGCCGACTCGGCATTCCACTGGTAAGCCCTTTTCTTTCACATTCGCTCTGTCTCACCAGACTGAAAGGACCTTGGCCTGAATCAATGATCTCTCCCTCTCAGTCACTCTGGTTTGGTAACCCTTATTTTAAATTTCTCGCCTTACAACGCAGAAAAAAAAGTAATGTAATAGTGCGTCGATAATCGGTTATTTTTTGGCAGAAAACCATTCTTCCCGCGCCCTGCTTAATAAGTGGAGAAATATTGTTCGTATATGTAGTACACTAACAGAACCCAGCAGACGTTGTCCTGCTCTAACTCTCCTTCCTGCTGTCACTCTTCTTCCCTCTCCCACTCTCCTTTTGTCTCATCCTCTACCTCCCTCCCTGTCCATTTGTCTCTTGTCTGTATCCCTACGATTTCTCTGTCTGACTATTTCTTTTTCTCTTTCTCTCACCGTTTATCCTGTCTTCCTCGGCATTGCCATGTGTAACACGGAAACTCTACAGTTACGGTTTCTCTACAAATATGTTCAATGTAGCCTAATAGTGAATAAAGAAGCCAGATAAAGCGATTCGGTACCATTGTGGGTCATTAATAGTAATATCGCGCAGCGCAATTTTAGCCAATAGCAGTGAAACGGTTAAATTGAGCGAAACAGAATTTTTCAAGTAGAGATTTCAAGCTTTAATTTATCTTAATTAAAAGTACTTTAGATAAAAATTTACGGAGTTATGTCTTCCTAAAAAGTGTGTATTTCTATGGTTTTCGCGTAAAGTTGTTTGAGGTAATGTGGCACACTAAGTCAAATATGTAATGTTTGATGATCGTAAAACTGTTGCGGGGCAAAGTAGGCACCACTTCAGCCAAAACTTCTTTGATACAAATAACATTAAATAATATTAAATCGTTATTTTATAACAAAGTAGCGAAAACGGGCGTGAAACTGAGCACATATGGGGTTTGTGGCACTCTTAAATCCATTTTAAACTCTTTTTTTATTGATGCCGGTGTTCTTGCATCGAAAACTAACATTAATCACTACGTCATTGGCTACTATTTTTTCGATTTAAATTATTGAGGGATACTTCATAAGAAAGAAAAACTATCATCTCCGTTAGCATCTAACAGCTTCCCTCATATTCAAAATATATTATTAATAAGTTTAACATAGTAAAAACTAGTGACATTAAAACAGCACATACTTTCTCGCCATTAGTAATGGTTATGTAATACTATTTATACCGCTATTTCTCTCCAAATTAACATATCTCAGTCATTTTTACTTTCCAATATACATACGTATACACGGAGTAATATACGTAGTATAGGGAAAGTTATGTAATGCTGCACAAAAAATGCATTTTTGGCAGCAATAAGTTCATTGCCGCGCCCCAATAACGAAAAAGTAGATAAATCCAGTTGCTAAATTAAGAAAGAAATATATCACGAGACGTAACCAGAATCGCTGTTTCATGATTACTTGATATCGAAAAACCAATGGACAGCAAAACGTTCGGTCGTCTGAGAAGAAAACTACCGCCTAAACCATGAATAGGATTTTTTCCAATTTGAAGAAACACGTGTTCATCTGGCGCGAGTCAAAGCTGTCAGATTTTTAAGAACATTCTTAAATTTGGGGGTACTTTACATGAAGGCGTCTGGACTTTTTCAGAATTTGCTCAAAAACTTCTCCAAATTATTCTTTCAAAAATTTTCAAAAAAGAGACTAACATTCACTAACAAAAGTCCGATTTTCCCGTTTAACTCTGAATAGTGTTTAACTCTGAATAGTGTTTTCCTTCAACTATTAAATTAATGATAGAAGTTTTTCCTTCATATTCAATTTGTCCTTAATTTTTTTTATGAAGGTCATGTATAATTTTTGAATCTTTTAGTAGTTTTCTCGCAATATTGCGTACAATATTTGCAATTTAAAAATACAAGAACAAGATTTTCTCTATAACGGATCCAAATTTGTTCCTTAACATTTTGGTAGGAATAGTGCAAAATGTACTCTAAGATGAGAAGAACGCCGATATCCTCTTTTCTTGAGTTTTTTTTCAAAAATTACAAAAATGTCATTTTTTGTCTTGTCTTTCATGTCGTTATTTATAATGGCGGCAGTTACTACATTTATGCGTACACGTTCTTAACATAATGTCTAATACAGATTCCTCAAAACACAATCGTTTTCTGTGAAAACTTGCTCAAAATTCCGCATTTTCTGAAACGGCATTTTTCCAAAAAGGCTCCAATTTTTTTATTCAATGTTTTCGAACTGATTGTGCTAATGGCACTTTTTAATACGACGTACCATTTCGGTATTTTGTTTTTCAAACGATTTGAAAATTCAAATGCTTTCAGTAAAAAAGTGCTTCAAATTTCGAATTTACAGTAGCTCTTAAACGCTCTTTTCTTAAAAAAAGGCTTCAAATTTTTCTAAAAAATGCAATTTAAGACGAGATTTTACTATTCTTTAATATTCATAAAATAATAGCTTCTTTTCTGTTATTAGGAAACCGAAAAAAGTAAGAAAATTTTGAAGGAAATGCACGTTGAGCAGCGATAGATGGCAGCTGGCTAGAGTATGTGGCAAGGTCGCATAGCCAGACAAGACCAATATAATTACATTGAATACAGTAACCTATTGAATGGCCCCCCTCCTCATTTCTTAGCACGTCATGCCTAAATAAGCTATCCGAAGAAGTACAGAAGAGCGACCTTGAAGTAGCATTAGCCAATAGGCAAGGCTTTTAAGTAGATGCTTTTCTATTCGGTAGCAATAATGCAGAGAATGTTGCATCCTTATTTCAATGAAATGCTATGGTGCTCAAAGGAGCCGAGTTGAATTGAGCCAATGCAAAACAATAGAAGTACCTGAAAAACGGTAAACTTGATTAACTGAACACACAATTTTCAATGCTCCGAGAACCTGTTTTGCAAACTCTGCTGACAATAGTGCAGCGCATAACTCCAAGCGAAGTATACTAAACCCTGACAACAGCTCCTTTGCATACTAGACCCTGGCAACAACAACTTGTTTCCTGAATCCAACGCCGTATCAATAATTCAAAGCGGATTAGTAAGAGCGTCGAAAGTAAAATTTGGGGAAACACCTCGCCCTCCTCCACCTTTCACCCGTTGCGTCATCCACCCGTTGAAGGCCCTCTCTCGGCGCGACGGCACGGCCAGCCCCGGCGGAGTGCGGCCAGGCTGGGACCGGTACTCCCAGCCGAGGGAGCCGTATTCTGTGATTTACATATTTCACGCAATATTTTATTTTTTTACATTTTAATTTAAGTTTTATTATTTTATTTTTTACAATTTTCTAAACATCGTGGATGTCAACACAAGTGAAACCTGCACCATTCTCTTAAACGTCCTTTGCACTACTCAACAACAAAATTTAATAAAAAAAATTGCCGCAATTTTTTTGATAATTAGGAAGTGTTCCAGGAGCGTCATATAAAGTCACCCCCTAAATTAAAATGTAGATTTCAAATTCTTGGATCTGCGACAACAGATAGAACGATTGCGGAATATGAAATTTGCAGAAAATTGGTTGAACGGTTTATGTGCTAGATTTGTGCACAGACGGACAGACGTTTTGCCGTCAATCGATTTTCCGGCATCAAGGAACCACAAAACATGGCTTCTGACTTCACTCTGTGTGGATTGTTTTTTCTATATTCAACAACTAGATTTGCCACTTTTACTTTCTCGGGCTCGGCAATAAGACTTTTTGTGTCGAAAATTTGCCGTTTTCAGGCGCACGATTACAATACTTCTTCGTACGTTAGAAAATGCGAGAAAGTAAAAATGAATATTGTAGGTAAAAAAGGCTAACAAAAATTGATGTACATCATTATGAACCGAGAAGCTTAACGCAAAATAGGCAAACTGACTAGTTTTGAAAACTAGACGATTTTCCAAATTAGATTTAGTTAATATTATAGTCCGGAAATGCCAGGACGGTAACTTAATAGACAATGTGAAATAACTAGATTTAAAAATGTCATTGGCGTGGGGTGAGAATGGACTGGAACTTTAGATTTAGATTTATGCTGTCAAAAACAGTAAAAACTGTATATGACGTAGGGGGGAAAAGTTTATCTGCGCATCTGCAGATTATCTTGAGTTCGAGAATCCTTTCCCGTCATTTTAACTCTAAATAGTTGAAAGATGAGTAAAAGTTTAACAAAAATAAATAAATAAATTTAAAAAATCGCAAGATTAGCAATATTTGAAAAATAGCCAGTTTTGTTTCCGAGTTATAGAAAACGTATTTGCATCGGTACACGAATTGCAGGGACCAAACGAAGGTGGAAAATTACCACTACTCTCCTCGTCACTGAGGTGGACTAGCATAGCAGTGTGACGTGGGATACTGCTCAAGAATTACTGAAAAGTGCACACTACTCCTTGTTAATGTTTCTACCCCTGACTACCAGTGACGATGGAGTGATTGGCTAACAGTTTTGTAGCATATAATCAGAGTTAAATATATTTTTCATGTGTTACCTTGGTTTTTAATTATTCTTTGTAATGTAAAGAAAAATATATCGGTTTTGGTTTTGTGGTCCAGCCATTGAAATATTTCATTTGAAAGCAAATGCGCTGTTTAAAATAATGTTTCTATTCAAATGTGTTTCCCTCTATCGTCGTTTGTTTCGAAAAGTATTAGAAGTTCACCTCTTTTCATAACAATCGTTGCCTTGCGCAGGTGCACATTTCTCGCTTCTGGACTGATGACACGCGGTTCGAAGAGTCAAAGAGGATCTATCATCACTGTGCCTACCATCACATGTTGGCCACGCACCACGTTACACCAGAGATGCTACGACAGATGTGGAAACCGCTGGTTCAGCTGCAGCCCGCTCGAGAGTGCGACACGTTACTCATGCACATTCTGGGGCACCTCTTCACTCCTGGCTCCTACCAAGTACGTCCTACCAACTCTTATTACAAAAAACCACATGGAGAAGGTGAACGGTTGTCAAGTGTCCCTTCAGGGAACGAACTCGTTTTGTGTTGATGAATATTGCATTTAAGAATAGTTTTGTGAAATCCTAATTCAAACAGAATGAAATAATGACTTGAATAACGAGTATTTAATAAGGAAATATCACACATTTCAAACATGGCGCGTTCGAAATTTCGTTTTAATTTGCCCCACCCCCACCCCCAAACCCACGAATTTTCTCGCAAGTAGAAAAATTTCATTTTATTTGAAACTTTTTTAAATAAACCTTCAAACTGCTTCCAAGTGACCGGTAAATCGCACTACTTCCTAGCCTGCCGGCGAAAAAGCTTTGCACATTGTAGAAAATTCAGGAATCCATTTTTTTTTTTCAAAATAAGACGCGATGAGATTGCATTGTTTGAGAATCTGGTGCCACGAGCAGTTTCGTAGCAGTCGTGTAGAAAAGCTAAGTAATACGCGTATTGAGAGCGTTGAAAGTTGGTTGGGTACGTTGGCAAGCAACTCCGGTATGCAGTCTCGGTGACCCGGGCTGCACAAAGCATGAATGTCAAATAGAATTCCTAAGGAGAACGTTTATTTTCGCCCAGACAAAGGTAAACATGAAAATTTTGACAATATCTTTAATTCTTAATCATTCTTACGGCAAGTTGTAATATTGTCAATTATGTGTCGTCTTTTCAGAATCTTCTCGTCTGATGAGAACACAGAAAGGCGACGTACAGAACTCATCGCAGATTCTGCAAACATAGAAAATAATATTTATTAATAATATGTATTAATAATATTTATTAATAATATTTATTAATAATATTTAACATAGAAAATAACTTTAAAATTAAATAATACCTTAAAAAGTTAGCATCTCATTTTCAGATAAAGTATTGAAAGGTTCACAAAATGAAAAAAACTTCAATTCAATTACAATATATTTATTATAAAGTTTTTTAAATAATTTCTCAATATATTAGATGATTTCCAGTCATGTGAGTCAGTCATTACGTGTAAAGAATTTGTTATAATATAACAAATTTAATGAATATTGTAACGAATTCGCTACATGAAAGTTATTGTATTCATTGTTATAAATGAAACTTCACACAATTATGAATAAAAATCGTATAATATTTTTTAAATCCATTCAGTTTAAAGATGTGTAAATGCATTACAAATCTTCAATTTCAGTGTATCAGTACACAATACATTGCACATCAAAGGCCTTTCTTTACGAAGTTTACGTGCTTATTCGTGCCGTTATTCTCGACCAATCGAGAATCGATGATCACAATTGAATCGCAGTTATTGAGCGTCTGCTCATATTATTGCAAATATTTATTATTATACTCAAATATTAAGGAAGTTATCCCCAAGGCTAAGACAATGAAAAAAGCTTTCGGAAAAATGCTCCCAGAGCGAAATCTGTTGCTTAATTTATCTGTAGTAGTTCTAAATCGAAACTGCTGTTCCCTAATATATATAGAGAAAATATATACATAACAGTGCTTCAACAGCTCGTACTTTCTCTAGATATTGTTAATGGTTATGTAAAATTGAAACAAAAAATTTCTATCTGACACTTCAAGTACCAACCGATGCGCGATAACACTTTTTTAAAATTCAAATATTTAAACGAAAACAGTTTTCTGCAATTGAATTCAGTATATTCACGACCAGCGATGCGTTTTTAACCAAAATAAATTAGTTTATATTAATGCGAACCAACGGCTGCCGTCGTTATATCCTTATGATACCAGTGTAATTTTAAATAGAGTTACTGATTACATAATATTAGTAGTAATATTTCTTTTTAAGCGTCTGATTAAAGCCTTGAAGCTGTTGTCACTTTTCCTTATCGCACCTCCAATAGAAAAGTGACAAGTGCAAATTTCTTATTTCTCAGAAATTGCAATTTTAAGTTTCGTGGTTCTGTAATACTCGTTATACGTTATTCGTAGATTGTAGCAAATATTCACCTTCTAGCGGACAGTAATTGAACTAACTCAAAATCAATTTCAGAATAGTAGCAGTACCTCTTGGTAACCTCTAATCAGCTTTTAGCTGAAAAATGACAATTTTGTCACTTTTTCTATTAGAGGTGCGTTATACAACACCAGAAATTCAAAAGTTAAATTCACCATTTACCTCCACTATGTCCTGATTATCGATACCAACTTCTTTCACAAGAAACACTTCTAAAAACACTGTCTGACAAAGAGATATTATTCTGTGAACTTCACGCGACGTTCTAATTGCTAGATTGCAACTTCTTAACCAGAGTGGCCAAATAGCTGAATTTTTTTTAAAAATATTTTCTCACAAAGCTAGGAAAACGCTTTTTAAGAGTGAATAGATGTGCAACTTGGTACGCAAAATACTAAGAGTTACTACCCGAAGAATGAGGATACTCCCATTGGAAACCACAATAATCAATAATTACACAGGCACACATAAAACAGCCAGACTAAAATACTTCACACACGTCGTCACCTTCCGCGACGTTCCGGCATTCAACAACTTGGTATGGTGAGGGCGATTATACTCCACGAGAATTCGTTCTAGCGTAGGTGTCACCGATTACGTGCGACTCTCTCCGCGGCTCCGTCGTTGGGTACTACCAGTTGGTTCTTCTAATTTTCCCTCCCCCTGGGAGGGAAAATTAGAATAATCAACTGATAGGGCCCGCTCGGGAATGACATGGGACCCCCCCACACACACCCACACATACGTACATACAATTACAACGCTACGAATTCCCTTTGAATAAATCAACTTCATTTAAGTAATTAAAAAAAATAACTAAATCACTTACCAAAAAGTACAATTTCAATGGATTTGAAACAATGTTCTAAAAGTTAATGATCTGTCTTTCATTTCCTTTCCTCATGGAAAACGTAATCAGATTAGAAATTAATGAGCTCTTTAAATTACAACTTTTAAACATAATTTTACGCGACCAGCTGGTGCGATTCTAATTTTTGCCTTTGCCGTTGTCGGCGTTCCTTAATATCTCTTGGATGATGGACTCTTGGACAATGAACTTTGGATTTGAATAACGAACTCAAACACACTTACAAAAATCGTTGGTTAAAGTTTAGTATACGGTACAGCTTTAGAGAAGCGAGGCGGCGGGGCTTAAGCCCTAATTACTGTTCGCGCTCTAATAGAAATGAGTAAAACTTACGAATAGTTCATGGCTCGCCCTTCATATGCTCTGTCCCCGCCGCATTGTAACGCCAATTTACTTTCAAAGGCAAGTTTTCTCGCTTCGCTCGCCCGGATCCCAGTCACGGCGAGGCTCGGGCCTTCGACCTCGCGTTTACTATAAACATCCTTGAGTCTATCCAACTCATAATTACAAATTCACTTTTATAATACATCACTTTTCAAGTAAACCTCCAGAATTCTGCCTAGTTAATGCCGGAATTGCGCGAAGTGCCTGTTTAAACGACTTCCTTAGGTTGTACCGTATACTACATTTCAGCCAAACTGTTTTACAGAGCACGAAATTCCAAAAATATCTGAACATATAAATATAACATAATATATAAATATATAAAAAACTGAAGCCTTTTACTATTGTAGTCCAGATAAACATGTTATTCGCGCTAGTGAACTACTGCTACTTTAAACATTCTTTCCGATTCAAATTTCAGAAATGCATTTGGCAATTTTAATCAACGTTTCTCACTTTAATTAAGTTCTGTGATCTGCTCTTTACAAAGTTTACGGGTACTCACACTTCCGCATCGACTTCGGGGACGAGCGACTCGTGCGAACGCTGCCTTCTTTGCGCAAGGCTCTGACAGGACCGCGAAGCGATGCCAGACCTTTGCGTGACCTCGCTGCCTACCGCTGGTGGATGGCGGCAAGTTACCTCGTCTGCGTTGAACTAAGCCGTTCTGCGATGTCCTCGCCGGGCGCGTACAATCCCGCCAGCTTCACCTTCGCTCTCGCGGTCCTCCAGTCCTCGTTTCGTACTTCTCGGATGCGAAGCGACGACGATTCCGTTTACGTTCGGATAGTCCGTGATCGTTATTTACTTGCATTGCTCCCCTTTTTCAATTGGCTGCGCGCACTCCTTAAATTTCGTTCACATCGGCGAGGTAATTGCTTAGAAAGACGCAAAGCTAAATACAGTTATACCTGGAGATTCTTGTGTTTGATTTCCCAGAAAGCGCTTACTTAAACCTTTCAAATGCGTTCACTTTATTCACTATTGTTCTCGTAGCACCACGTAAAGAAATTACTTCGCAGATTTGCATAACCAAAAGTTAGTACCGTTCACCTCGACAGTTCTTAGTACAGTGCAGACCAACTCCCACATAAGGTGCTGGGGACCATCACAGTGGCGCGCTCTAGAGCATCACCTTCTTACACGAACTAAAATACGAACTGCTACCAACGTTATTTAAAACGTGCGTGGGTTCTCGGGACGCAAACACGCGCTTGATACAAGAGATCGCACCGCTGTTCGCGCTACCTTTTCTTTCATGCGTGTATTATTATGCATAAATGAATTTTAGAAGATAAACACATAGTATTTAACTTCTTTCGTAATTTATTTCAGAAATCGCTCATAATCAAAGTGTATTCCTATTTTTGACCAATTTGTATGTGCGAAAGTTGGCGAGCCTTACCAGCAGCTGTATCCGGCGACACTAGCGCATCCTATAGTAGCAACCTATAGCTTTGTCCCCAATTTTGAGTTGCTGTTCACCTCGACGGATTTTGGGAGCCTGTGTCCCGCCAACCGGCCACGGGGAATGTCCGTTTTGAACAACTCGCTTGACCGGCGCCGGCCAATGACATTCGTAGCGCTTATCTACATCGTCCCCATTGGCGGCGACCGAACTGGACACTGGTTTAAGTTCTTCGTCGAATAAAACGTCATATCCTGACGTCATCGCGCGCGGTATTTAAATGCACGGTTGTTTCAACTGATATCGCAGTCGTCACATTTC